TGTTGCCCTTTCCCATCTGTTTAGGATGGGAACTCTGGCATGTTCATGGCCACCTGGAGCCTCTTACTTGATCTGTCCAACTCAGAGGCACAATTCCAAATCTGGTGAATCCCAGAAAACCTTAGTTACCTTTTGATATTTGATCAGCATGGAAGATATTCCCCTTCTCTGGCATTTCTCCTGTCTCCCTGGGCCACAGCTTGTCCAATCCTGGCATCCAGCCTTGTCATACACCCATTTCCCCTACACAGAAAACTTTAACCATGCTCGTGGACTGGGTCCATGAGTGACTAGTTGTTCAGAACCACAGCCTCAACTTCCCACTGCCCCATCCTTTTCTCCTGCCCCTGGTCTTGAAGATCAAACATAGAACTCTCTGTCAGCTCATCCCTCTCCCTCAGGCCTGCCTCCCTGTGCTATCATAGAAAAAAGAAATCACACCTGTTCCCCTGACCCTCCCCATTCCCACAATCTTGTGACACACATCAGGTGTCTTTGGCCTCCTGAATTGTGCATAAGTCTTCAGGACACCACTGGGAGGTCAAGAGGAGGAAGTTCTGCAGGTTCTCCAGACTCTGCTGCTACCAGTTCCCTTCCCCAATGAGACCAGGGTCTAAGGGGCAGTGCCCAGAGGGTAAGATTCTGAGGGAGGTTTACAGTATTCCCAGTGTTTTGAAAACTCTCAGGAAAATGGTTTTTCTCACCCACATGTACTTGGTATCAGGACATGTTAGGGCTAAGAAGCCTGAGGGGTAGAGGGGGAAGGACGGGCCCAGGATGGAAACACTGTCACACTGGACTGGTGGGTCCTGGGCACTGAGTACAACCCCATCACTGGTGGAGGGCTCCATCAGGTGCCAGGAATCTCAGAGACAGGACTGCAGCTTGGTCTTCCCCTGCCCCAGCACTTCCACTCAGACCGTAAACATAGCCAGCTGCTCTACTGAGCTCCAAAAGGAAGCTCTCATTCTGTTGGAGGTTGTGAACAGAATGTACCCTTGACCTGGAACACTCTCCTCCCCTCTTCCCAACACATACCTTTGTTCATTCAGCAACCATGCTACCCAGAATTGACTGGGCAGGAAAATAACATTTGAGTAGGGAGGAAGCCTTTCATCCTGCTTGCATTCTGGCCCTCATTGAAATTTCATCTGTGGCTATTCACAATCAGGTCCCCACATTAGCTGCCAAGTTGCCTGGAATCCTGCACAAACAAGGGTGGATACAAATTCTATTATGTCCACAATACTAACATTAGCTTCTGGGTGTTCGTCCTGGACAGTCTCTTTCTGCCTGCATATGGTGGCCAGGTTCCCAGGAGGAGAGGGCAGGAGTGTTCTGTGCCTCCTGAGGCTCCCAGGCCTGGTCACCACTCTCTCAGGCCAGAGCATTATGGAGTCAAGGAGTGGGTCACAGGAAACAGGGAGAAAACAGGAACCTCAGACTGTTGTACTCTACAAGATAAGCCAGAAATTTGGCCATGAGATCTGAAATAAAATGTGCAAATCCAAAGGAGGTTGTGCAGACAGCTTGGGGTGTTATAAGGATTGGGGAGAAGGAGCAGTGGCAAAAAAATGCCTGCTGGAGTATAAGCGTCCTCTTGGGTAGGTGGCAATGTTCGAGGACTTGATAAAGATGGTGGCAGCACAACATTGAGAATGAACCAAATGGCACAGCTTTTATATGTTAATTAGGTTAATTTTATGTAGATTTCATCTAAAAATTTAGAAGAAAATAGTTTAGATGATTCTAAAAGCATTGAAAAGGTTACAGAGAATAGATGTCAAGGGGTTTTCTTCGGGAGAGGGGCTGCTGTGAGTGGTACCAGTGGGTCCTGCCACTTTGACCCAAGCTTTACCAATTAGGGACAGGGTTGAGAGCATTTCTAAAGAAAATGCTCACAAAAAGATTAGAGGACCACTCTTCCTCTCTATCTGTGTGTGTGTGTGTGTGTGTGTGTGTGTGTGTGATTTTATTATTAGCTGCTGGGTGTTGAACTCAAAGACTCATTCACACCAAGCTAGACCTCTAGTATTGAATTACACTCCAGCCTCCCCAAACCCCTGTTTTAATGTCTAGCCATGCAGAATGCAGCCTTTTAATTTTTTTCCCTTGGTCGTTTCCCTGGCTCTGAGAGCAGTGAGACTCCTGGGTCATGCCACCTGGCCTCTGGAGCTAAAGACAAAGTCTACAGAGGTAAAATTTCTCTTTTTCAATACCAAGCCCAAACTACAACACCCCCACTATCAACTTGCTGAGTATCATGTATGAATGGTCTGCATGTTCCTTTCTAGAAGATCCTCAGGAAGTGAAAAGGTTATACTAGGTAGCTCCCAGGGCTGGGTTATTCATTTTCCCTGTTCCCTTACATAGGATTCTTTGGCAGCTACTCACTGCCACAAGCAAGATGTGGTTCATAAGAGCTTTTGCATCCAGGCCACACACAAGCCCCTTATTGATTCATGCTGACATGATCTGCAACAAATGCCCAATTCCAGCCAGCTTCCCAGGAGGCTCTGGGACTCCTTCCATAACTTAGTATGAACTTGAACTGGGAAGTCTTTGAACTGGAAGATATTTCACAAATGATCAGGTTTGACAGTTTGGACCTCTTGGCTCACAGACACATTTGAAGAAATAGCCTCGAAAATGAACCCACAAATATGGCTCAGCCAAACCAGGAGAAGAAATTCTGCCTTGAAATGAGATAGCCCACAGTTCCCTTAAAGCAACAACCATGAAGTGAGGACCCAGGAGAATCTGTCCCTGTATTGTTCTCTGAGGCTGCCCTCCACTCAAGTGCAGAATCTTTGCAAACCCTACTGCACTTGGGAATGCCCACACTGCTCATGGCTGCCCCACCTCAACCTCCAAATTGTGCCTGTCTTCATCTCCATGTTTCCTTCAACTCCAAACAGAAACAGGGAAGCTAGGTCATCCAGGTTGATTATACATGCTGTTTGTGCCAGTTGTGGGGGTGGTGGGGAAACTCCCACCCGTATAATTCATTCTGGGGGTTCCCTTGGTTATTGGCTATAACCTCCCACCCAGGAGCACTGAGGCCCTGGATTGGACTAAAAGGAGGAAAGAAGGACAAACACTGCAATCTGTTCTTGTTGCACAACATGTGAATGTGTTTAATGTCTCTGGTCTGGGCAATTTAAAATGCCACCAATGGAAAATTGAATGCTCTCTACATTCTATACCAATGATACAAAGGACACATCTTACGGATGCTGCTGCTGTCATAGCTCTACAGAGGATAGTATGTGTCAAGAACAAGAAAGTAGCCTGAGAAAGTGAAGTCAATGCTCATCAACCAAATGTGTGGTACTATGCTACACACGGGTGACAGTGGCAACCAGCTCCAGGTCTGTTAGTAATCTGTGGCTTCCCTGGAGTCAGTGCAACTTCATGGAGATCAAGGTCCAATTTGACTCTTTAACTTGAAAAATATATTTGCTTCAGGGAACCATAGAGAAATCAGCGGAAAACCCACTCAGTGTTCAGAGATGATAAACTTATAACATGCTCTCTGGTTTCCTCCTAATTCTTTCCCCAATGGCCTTCATCACCACCATCCACCTCTTGCTCCTGCCTATCCCATAATAAGCACAACCAGAGACAGTGCAGAGTGGAGGCCAGAGTATGCATAGATACAGAATATTGGGATTTCTCTTCTTCACAGGCCACTTCACTTATGCACAGTGTTGAGGATTATCCTCAACCACTGTATCCTGCAGGGCACCCAGTTTCCTGTCTATGTTTATAGGCAGTTTTCAGTGACATGAACCCTCAGGACCTGGGCTCACAGTGTTCCTGCATCTGCATTGAAGTGTTGATTCCTTGGGCTCAAAGGGCAGCCAAAGATGGATTTTACCTAGACCAGGAAAGTTTGGGCAGGAAGAAGCAGAGCTGTGAAGTACATTGTTGCTGAGTCAGGGAACCTGAACACTTGCCCAGGGTGAGAGACCCCAGGGTGAGAGGCACAGTGTTCATGTTGCTAGTCTGTATGTGCAGTGGATCAGAGCTGGCCTCAGAGAGGGTCAAGTGGGCTGGATGAGAGATAGTATGGCTTTAAGCAAATAGGAAATAGAAGGCAGTTCTCCCACAAGAGGCAGAACACTCCTCCGTTCCAGATCCTGCTTCCCTGTAAATCTTTTACCTGGTGTTTAAAACAGTGAGTGGACTTGGACTCTTCTCCAACATGACCTAGTTGTGTCCTTGAGGTTTATGATTAACAAGTGTCCAGAAGCCAACCAATGATGTGGACAACCAGATCTCTTCCCAGAAGTAGGGAGGGTACTAGACAGTCTCTCCTGGGTGCCAGTCGCAGTCTGGACTGAGGCCACTCTGGAACCTTGTGTCTCTGTGGTAGCAGGTGAGAGGATGCAGGTGCAAGGTCAGGGCTTTCCGAACAGGTTGACAGTAAGGACTGTGGTGGGGATCTAAAGGTCATGCTGTTTTGGGTGCTTGGTCCTTTGCCTTCTCAGCAGCCTAAACCTTTACCATCAGGCAGGATGCTTTGCTTTGCTGAAACTTGTACTTGGCAGCACAGGATTCCTCTAATATGGATCCAGGAGAATGTCCAAAGGACTGGGAAAATGAGGTTTGACTGCCACAGGGAACCATCCTAATGTACCAAGAGTTCAGAGAGCCCATAATGGGGCAATGAGGGTGGAGGGGAAGGGACTGGATACATGGCAGCTTTATTTAAGATATTGTACTGAATCCTCAGAATAACTCTAGAAAGCAGGTATTATTTTCCCCATTCTGCTGATGAAGACACACAGGCTTTAGCGACATATCCAATGCCCCACAGCTAGAGAGGATGAACACAAGTTCCAATTAGGTATTATGAGGCACACCCTTTGGCAGTTTCTCCATAGTCCCTGGGAGGCCTGGTGGCCTGGGGACACTAAAACGTGGCTTCCTATCTCTTTTCCAGGGTTTCCAGGAAGGTGTGCAGGCAGGTCTAGCTGCCTCTCCTGGACCTCGAGATTGCAGACACAGAAGTCTCCCCCATGGCTTCTTATCACATCCGCAAATACCAGGAGAGTGACAACGACAGTGTTCTGGCCTTATTCTCCAGTGGGATGACTGAGCACATCCCTGCTACATTCCGCCACATGTTGATGCTGCCCCGAACGCTCTTGTTCTTACTTGGAGTGCCCCTCACTTTACTGCTAGTCACTAGCTCCTGGCTCCTGACCATAATGTCCAGCTTTACCCTACTTATTTTCCTGAGGCTGCTTGCTACTTTTCCCTGGAAGGTTCATGAAGCTCTATGTTTGCGCACAGACCTGGCTGACATCACCAAGAACTACATGAGTTCATGTGGCTCCTGCTACTGGGTGGCTGAGTTTGAGGGACAGGTGGTGGGCACAGTGAGTGCTCTCCCAGTAGCAGACCCTCCCTTAGGGAAGAAACAATTGCAGCTGCTTCACCTCTCAGTGGCCAAGGAGCACCGCGGTAAGGGGATCGCAAAAGCCCTTGTCAGGACTCTCATCCAGTTTGCCCGGGTTCAGGGCTACAATGAAGTTTTCATTGAGACTACCACAATGCATTACAGTGCCCTGGCACTCTACCAGGCTATGGGCTTCCAGAAGAAAAGCCAGATTTACTACAGCATGATTTGGAGGATACTGGATATTCCTAAAGTTGATTTAATGTACCACCTTCCTTCTGCTCAGGAAGAGGGACTGTGATCCATTTCCCTGTGTATCAGTAAGAATCTGGACCTGTCTTCTCTAGTAACAACCAACCCCTGATATTTAAGTGGTATAAACAATAAAAGCTCATTGTTCTTGCATGTCTGTGTTCATCAGTTAGGATGGTAGGATGTGGGCACTGGCATCTCTGCTGTAGTCATTTTGGATTGTCCCCTCTTCATTTATCCAGTCACATAATAATGTTGCATAGAACCAATGAAAAAACAATGATGCACACCTTTCACTTTAGTTCCTGTGAACCAAGCAGGTTCTGCTGAGCTTGGCTGGGCAGTGTTCTGGATCTCTGGTTGCCTTTTCTAATGTCCTTGGTTGAATGAAATGCCAGGGACACTGGGCTTCATCCATTTCCAGCTTAGCCAGGTTTCAAAGTCATTGTAGAACAAAAGGCAATAACAGAAAGGAGCAATAGCTTTTCTGAGTGCCTGAAAGTGTCACCTGTGGAAACATCCAGGCTGAGAGGGAGAAGTTGGCTCTGTAGTAGAGGAACTGCAGAGCTACAGAGCATAGGGGCAGGATGTAGCCTGTGGGAAGAATTGGGACAGTGACTTGCTCTACCTTCTCTCCTTCTTGGTCCCTGGATCATGGTAAGAAGTTGGGTGAGGATGGAGGGAGGCATGTTTTCATGGGAAGACATGGATATTATACAACCCTCAAGGCTCTAGCTGAACCCAGTCACATGGGTCTACACAACCGAGAGGAGATAGGTCAGGCATGACTCTTCCTGTTTGTCCAGGAGGTGCCATTGGACTGGCAAGTACACCAGATCTGCTATCCTTGGGAATCAGTCAGGACCAGCCTCTCTCAAATGCTCAGGGAGTTTAGAATTCCATAGATGCCTCAGGCCTGATTATGTCATCCTAGAAGCTTCTGACACAAGGGTGAGTTGGGTGGTGGATCAGGGTTGATGTTAGCAGGGCTGTCTCTCCCAGGTACTTCATTTCCATGTGGGTCTGGAACTCTCACTGGTTTCCCTCAACCTAGAGGCTGAGCTCCTGCTGTTCTAGGGATTCCAGGCATCCCTCAGTAAGGTTCACCTTGGCAGTGTCTCCTACTCATAGCTTGCATCCACTGAGAGGTCAGGTGGCTGTACCCTGCTCAATCCTTCCAACTGGACTTGTTAAAGAGCCATTTCAACTTTGAAATGCACTAGCATGATCATGGGATGTTTCCAAACATGACTGACAAATTGCCTGGGACCACAGGCACCAACTCTGCACCCTAACCCCCCCATACCATTCTATATATTGCTGACCTCGATGGCCACCACAGTGCCCTCTGTCTTTCCCCACCTTCAGGCCTATATCTGTTGTGATTATCTTAAACCTCAAAAAGGAACACAGGGGTTTCCCTTCTTATTCACAGTCCCTACTGTTTGCCTCAGGCATTTATTGCCTCCTGATCTGTGGTTATGTTTCCAGCTTTTCATTTAATGGTGGGGCCCACAGGACAGCCCCTGTGAGGTGGGGAGGAGAACATGCAGTTCTCCTGCTCTGCTGCCACCAGCTACCCTCTCCCAGCAAGGCCAGTGCTTCCTGGAGCAGTTCCCAGTGGGCAAGAGGCAGGATGGTCCCAATGCTTTGAAAGTTTCAATCAATCACAGGGAAATGGCTTTACTCACCAAGATGTGCACGGTATCAGGCCACTTTGGAGCTCAGAGCTCTGAGGGGAAGAGAGGGGAAGGATGGGCCCAGGATGGAAACACTCTGATAGTAAGTAATGGGAGTCCTGGGCACTAGAGAAGATTGTCAAAAGGCTCCAACCCCATCACTACTGAAGGGCTCCCTCAGGGGCCAGGAAACTCAGAGTCAAGACAGTAGTTTGGCGTTCCCCTGTCCCAGAGCCTCAACTCACTCCTCACACACAGTCAGCTGCTCTAGTTAGTTCCAAAAGTAAGTCTTTGTTCTTTTGGAGGTCTTTGAACATGTTGTTCCCTTGGCTTGGGACATTCTCTTCCACTCTCTCCAACACATACCTTTGTTCAGCAATCATGTTTTCAAGAGATGGACAGTGTTGATTGGGTAGGAAAGATAATTCTGAGCAGGGAAGAAGCCTTTCATCCTGCTTTCATTCTGGTCTATGCCTTCTCACAATAGGGTCCCTATACCAGCTGCCAAGCTGCCTGGATGCTGTACAAACAAGAGTGAATACAAAGCCTATTGTGTCTGGAAGACTCACATTAGTTTGTGAATATTCATCTTGGACAGTTTCCTTCTGCCTAAACATGATGACCAGGTTCCCAGGAGGCAGAGGGCAGAAGTGTCCTGTGCTTGCTTAGGCTCCCAGGCCTGGTTACCACTCTCCCAGCCAGGGAACATTACTGGGTCAAGGAGTGGGCAAGGTTGGAACAGGGAGACAAAGTGGAACTTCAGACTATGGCACTCTAAAAGATAAGCAAGATATTCTGCCATGAGATCTGAGATAAATATGCAAATCCAAAGCATGTCATGCAGACAGCTTGGGGTGTCACTAGAACTGGGGAGAGGGATGGCTGCTGAATGTTTGGGGACTTGATAAAGATGGTGGTGGTGCAAGATTGTAAATGTTGAGAAATGTCAAAAACTTTTATAATATTTTATTTTATTTTTGCAGTGCTGGGGATGAACTCAGACCTAGCACATGGTAGGCAAGTGCTTTACAGCCTGAGCTACATCATCAGTCCATAAATTTTAAAATAATTCCATTTTATTAGGTTTAATCTAAAATATGAGTGTTAGAGTCTGTAAACAAGTCAGGATGGCGCCTGGCATTTTTCTAGAGAAATGTTAGAGTCTGTAAACAAGTCTGGATGGCGCCTGGCAAAATGCCAGAGGGAGTGGTTTGTGAAGTAATGCCATCGAGCCACTAAGTGTGGAGATTCCTTATTGGTTGACTGATGTATCTAGTTTATGCTAATTAGATAAGCTGTGTGGAATGTATAAATACTGCCCCTGTCCTGCAATAAACGGCTTCCACTCCTGCTGTATCAATCTACACAAGTTGTTCGTCATCCCCCGGTTATTTTGCTGCAGCCGGACTGCGGCATATGAGAAGAGTTTAGATGACTCAAAACTCACAAGGAGGACCTAAAGTTTGGAGAGAGCAAGGATGTTAAAGTGTTTTCTTAGGGATAAAGTAGCTAATGTACCCAGTAGCAATGGGTACTACCACTTTGGTCCCAGCTTCACAAATTAGGGACAGAGATCAGAGAGATTAAGATACACTGAAAGAGGGGACTAGGCTTGAATCCTGGTCTGTTTGACTCCCAATTTCATATTTCCTCCAAAAGGCAGCCTTACCCCCCAGAGCAAATCTTATTGTATAGATCTGGAGCATAGCCAATTTGGGGCCTACCTGCAGAATATAAAATCCAAATAGGACTTCTAGGAATGAAACTGTGGGATGGAAGGGATGGACTTTGAAGCTTAAACCTTGTAGTTTCTCGGTAAATTTGTCTCTTCCCAGTCCCTGTACGATTTGGAATACACACACTGCCTGTCTGTTGTTTAGTCAGTCAGGGCTGCAGAGAAGGTGTACATGAAGGTTTAGCTGTCACATGTGGAAACTACAGACACAGAGGTCTCCCCATAGCACCTCATTATATACACAAATACCAGGAGACTGACCACAAAAGAGTCCTGGACTTATTCTCCCAAGGGATGGTTGAGCACATCCCTGCCACCTCCTGCCACATACTGAAGTTGCCAAAAACAATCCTGGTCTTATTTGGGGTGCCCACCACCCTACTCCTAGCCTAAGGTCTTGGCTCCTGGCTCTTGTGTCCAATGTTGCCCTCCTTGCTTTCCTATGGCTTTTCCTATGCTGGCCAGGCAGCCTTAGAGAAAGTATGTGGACGTGTGTTTGCAGATAGACCTTGCTGACATCACCAAATCCTACCTGAGGGCCCGTGATTCCTGCTTCTGGGTGGCTGAGTCTGGGGGCAGGTGGCAGGCATAGTGGGTGCTCTGCCAGTGGAGGACGTCCCCCAGGGAGGAAGCAACTGCAGCTGTTTCACCTCTCTGTGGCCTTGGAGCACTGAGGTGAAGGACTAGGGAAAGCCCTGGTCATGATTGTCCTCCAGTTTGCGAGGGCTCAGGGCTACAGTGAGGTTGACCTTGATACTAGCATGGTACAGCTGGCTACTCTGACCCTCTACCTGTGCATGGGCTTCCAGAAGACAGGAAAGTACTTGTTTGATAAGATATTTAGACTACTGGATATTTCTACAATTCATTTAACATACTTCTTCCCATCTGCTCGGGAAGGAGGCCCATGAGCTATTGTCTTGTGTATCAGTCAGGATCTGATTGACAATCCTGTAGCACAAGCAAACCCTGGCATTTTGGTGGCACAAATGATGAAAACTCATTGCCGGTGAACATCTGAGTCCAACATGTTTGATGGCGAGGTGTGGATATGGGGGCTTCTATTCCACTCAGTGCTTCTAGGTGACAGTGATTCAGGTGTCTAGCACCATAGTAATTCTGTATTATAAAAAGCCAAACAATAATGCGCACACACATTGTTTATAAGTCTGTGGGCCAGTCTTTGTTCCTGGTCTCTGCTGGGCAGCTCTGTGGGTCTCACAATACCTATGGAGATGTCCTGAATTGACTGCAGCGCCGGTAACATGTACATCATCTTGTCCCAGCAGGCCAGCTCAGGCAGGGCTCAAAGTCACTGGAGAGCAGCCAACGCAAAATGAGAAAGGAACAAAGACTTCTCCATGTCCTCACAGGGGTCACTTGTGGATACATTCCAGACTCCAGGGAGAAATGGAGCTGGCTCAGAAGTAGAGGAGCTGCAGAGTCCAGAGCAGAAGGGCACGATGTGGCTCTATGGGAAGAATTGGGCAGCAATGCACTCACTGTAGTTCCCTGTCCCTGCAGAGGGGTGGGGAGGTGGCTGTGGATGGAGGGGGATGTTCCATAGGGAAACCCTGGGTATGGTGCTGGCAGGGCCCATTACCATGGGCCAGGCTCACTGAAGGCAGGTTGTGT